CCCTCTGAAATATTCTGATAGAAATTTCTTGTTTTATACATGTATGACATGAAGAAAAGGATGGAAAACACTACTCCTTCAAATATGAGAAATAGAGAAAAGTGATGTTACTTGAGGCAGATAAACCTGATGCTGATCATTTATAAATCTGGCATGGACTGCAGATACTGATCCCCAAACCCATAAGTCTAGTTTGGGTTTGAATAGGAGCAAAGTCAATCTTGTCTCTAAATGTCTAAGGCCTTTGTTACTTAGAGACAAGCTCCTGTTGTAGCAGGATATACTGGAAAGAGCACTGGATTTGGAGACAGGAGACCCGAGTCCAGATCCTGACTGTCAACTTACTCTGTGGCCCTGTTAAGTCTCCTAATTTCCCTGGGCTTCAGTTTCCTCATTTTCAAAAAGAGGGGGTTTAACTAAGTGGCTCCTGAGGTCCCATCCGTGTGATCTTGGCTTCTTGTTTGGACCTCAGTGCCGTTCACCTTGGCAGCATGGCTTCTTTAATTGAATAAGTGATCAGAAGGGGAATCTTTTCTCAGAAATCTGTCACAAGTCTTCCCCTATATCCATATGGTTTAAATGTCCAGGATTTATCTCCAGGGTTAGAAGTCACAGGAAGCTGTGGCTCACAAGTTCCATAACATTTTTGTGAGGTCCACAGATTCCTTGAATACTGGATATCACTGGCCTGACCCATTTAGCTTAAAGATTTGAAAAATGTAATAAACAGTTATGCCTCTTGGGGACATTTTGCCATTTCACCGCTACTGGAAGGGAAATGGTCTATGATTTTTCTCTGATTTCTTGACTGTTGAAAGCATTCCTCTTACTCATCCTCTCCTGGTAAAACATTGTGGTCTTCGTCTAATTAATCTGGCCTCTCTTCAGCCCATACACTTATGTTCTCTGAAGCATTTCTGTAGACCCTCTTCCAAGTAGTAATTGTTTTAACCAAAAGGATTAGTGATCCCACCCCAAAAGTCCTTTCTGTACCACAAAGTATGATATATAAAAGGGTTAGAAAACCTTTTAGGCAAATCAAAATTCTGGCTGCCTTGGTTTCCCTTTAATGCACTTGCAAAGCTGTCATGTTGAATTGGGAAAAGCTCTAGCTTTGGAGTCAGTAACTCTGGGTTATTGCCGCTTGGCCTCTGTCACCCTAGGTTAGTCACCTGATCTTTCTGGACTTCATTTTTTTCTCTCTGTGGAATGTGAGGTGGCTGAACAAGATGATCACCAAGGCCTCTTCCAGCTATAAATTCTGCCACCCTCAGCGCGATCCTACTTCATCTGGGGACAGAAAGAATTCTCTGGGTCTGAATAGATTTTTGTTTCTACCTAGGGAGAGTAAAAGATACTTAAAAGGAATACAAAGCACCTAACCACCTGGTGCTCTTCATACACATAAAGCACTCACTTGGATCTAGCTCCTGATGAGACTGTCAGTTTGGTCTTGTAATCCCACTGTGGCTATTCTCAGAATGACCTCATGCCCTAGCTCCTGATATGTTACTTGCCATAACAGCTGTAGGCAGCCATCCTTAACATCTTTGGAAAAACCCCAATTACTTACCAATAAGATTATTTACTTGAAGTTGCATTATCCCTGGCAGCTGTTACAGGTTCCTTCTCATATTCTTTTTGTGTACCACACACCACTAGTAGACCTGAGATATCCTGTAACATTGGATTTGCCTGTCTAATCATCAAGTGGAAGTAGGGGGAAAAACTAAATGGGAAGACTTAGTGGTGGAGCGTCTGTTAGTGCTAGTGCCGAGGCTCATCTCTTACCCTGCGTGGCACAATGGAAAGTGAAGGAGATTTGGGAGTTAGAAGATCTGGATTAAAAAACAAACAAAAGACCAAGAAAAACCAAAACCACCCAGAGTAGAAAGGGACCTGAGAAGCCATTTAATTCAGTGCACCTTTGAACAGCCGTGCTTCACAACCCTCCACCCCAACAAGTTAGAGCTTCCAGTTAACCTGTAACTTCTGAAACAGATAGCACTGATTGTTAGGAAGATTTTCCTTACATTGATCTTGAATCTACCTTTCTGCAGCTTGTGCCCATTGATCTGCCAGAATCAATAATCTTTTTTCTATATAGTAGCCCTTCAGACACTTGAAAACTGTTGTCACGTTGCCCCCAGTAGACTTCTCTTCTTCAGGCCAAATATTCCTAGTTCCTTTAGTCGTCATAAGACATAATCTCCAGTCCCCTCAATATGCTGGTCTCACCTTCCTTTGTATGTACTCCTGGTCTGACCCTAACTAGTGGGGAGGAATCAGGATTTTGCCCCTGGGCATCGAAGTGTAGAAGATACAAATTATATAACAATAATAAAAGATTGTAACAATGATTTAGAAGATTGTACAATTTTAAAATTTGTTGCATTTATAATATTTTGTAATGTTCTGACATGCTTTTTTTTTTGAGTAGCATAGAAACTTTTTGGGTATAATGAATTAACCTAAGAAACTTACCAAATGGTGAGGTTCCTCCTCCATACCAGACGAGACCTTTCCCGAATTGGTCCAATCTTG